TTGCTAGGGCTGTCGATGCGTCCTGGGGCGCGTCACAACTCTAATAGGTAGGTATATCAAATTTAATCGTAAAGTAACAATCACCACTGTGGTCTAGTGGTAAGACTACCTATTTAGGACAGCCAATTCCTCTGTGGTTTAGGATTCCGGGTGAAGCTCGCTGATCATCCATCAGTTTCCAACTTTCCATCAGGTCCAAAAAATGTTCTGTTCAGTTATTGTCTCTAAACGTGTTCTACGTAACGTAAACTTAGTGGATTGCATACATTAGTTAGTCCTAAGAAAGTCAAAAACATGTAACGGAATCTCCGACTTACTACTTTAGTGGATTACAGAAAATAATGGCCTATTAAGTAGGTACATGTTTTTTTGTGTTGTTATGAAAGTTCAGAAAACTGCGCAGTTTTTAAAATTATTTTGGACCTATGAAAGTTCTTTTTTTTTCTCATACATTTCAGTTGAAAATTTTAGAATGTTCTGCTAAAAGCATATTTTTTATGTTTCTAGCAAAAATTTTGTATCTTGCATCAAAGATAGGAAGGTGATTATTTTTTTCAAATATCTGCAACTAATAGGGAATCTGTCCAAAAAAATAAATCCGAGAAAAGTGAACCCAAAAAAAAGATTTCAAAAAAATTAAGCCACTAGGTCATAAAATTTGAAAAAAACACAAAATTAACGATAACTTCTAAACTACGAAAAATCGTAGAACATACATGGGGGTGAAATCGATAGGTCTAGTCCTCACCTATCACCTGCCTTCGGCTTGACACCTTACAAGAAACACCCTGTATATCAGAAATGTTATCTTCATAAATGTTAATCATATGAGTATNGAGAATCGCCCTAAACTTAAAGGTCAAGAAAAAGTCTATTATTAAGTTTGCACGTGCAGGTCATAAAGATTTTGTATAGAACAAAAGAAAATGATAAGGAACGGCGCGGCTTAAAATAGTTTTGGTAGGCTAGCTTTTGTGCATATTCTTAACCCTGAATGCGCGACTTTTTGCTTATGAAAATAAGCTCATTAAATTAATGTAAAATACCTACTATGACTCCAACGTTAGAGACCAATGTTTAAAATAAAGTTGTTTTATTAAAATGATCCAAAAGTATTTAAACAATTCCCCTTAATAATTTAATTTTGATAGTTATATTGGTACCTATATGTATTATTTTTGAGCTTATTGTACGTTAATTTTATATACCCGATGTACGTTATTATATTGATATACGTTATGTTCAGGTATATTACTATTAAGTCCACATTATTTGTAGCGTGATAATTTTTATATTGCTACGAATCTCCCTATAGCCAATACGGGCGGAGCAGTAAAGAAAAATGTTGCGAAAACGGGAATGTTATAAGCTGAAGTTTTCTTTGTTTGAACACGCTAATCTCGGTCACTACTAAACCAATTTCAGAAATTGTTTCACTGTTAATGTACCTACGTGATCCCTGAGTACTATAGGCTATAAATGTACTACGGGAAAAGCCAGGGCAGACCACTAGAACAACAATAAAGTAGTATTTTTTTAACTTTCTCTTATTAAAACGTTGCACTCCCGAACCCAGAGAGGTTTTCGCCAAAACAATGTTATTTGTGTAATTTTTATAAAATCATGCTATAAATAAATAAAGTATATATATAGGATTATAGGTATACCAAATATGTAATAATATACCAAATATAAAATGTAGGTTTCAGCAACACTGCGCATTTAGGGTTAAGCTTAAACGAAGATAACATTATCTAAGTCATTTTCAATTGGAGATAAGCAAAAATACTACAGTAAGTAAATGCTTTGTTCGAAAACAAACAAAAGAGCGGCGGTCCTTTTGTTCAAGAAATAAGTAAGTGATAAAAAAGCGGCATTCCTATTGTTCGGCAAAACATATTGTAAAATCTTTACCTGTTGTGTAGTGATATAAAACAATGGACAGGTATATTATGACGAAGCCAAAGGGTGGGGGGTCAGTGAATTGGGTTGTAAATGTACTCAGTCTGCTTTCGACCTCGCAAGTGTTCGGTACGCTCTTTGCTACTGTTCAGTATTGTGAAGTGTTTGTGTAGTGGATTTTACGATGTCCGCCGACGACATTGACAACCAACTTTCGGAAATCTTCCGTGATACGTAAGTACCAATATTTTATTTGATTTTTAATCAAGTTTTAATTGAAAGGAACCTATTGCATAATTTAGTAACCATTTACCTACTTTAATTTTTAAAATAGTATTAATTTAATGTTCATCTATTCATCATTTTTGATCGTCAATATCAACATTAGCTACATTTTACATTATTTTTGAATCTTCTAATTTAAAAAAATTAAGTATATAAATTTTATCTCAACATTATAATTATGATTGTAATTGTGAAATTTATTATTTATAATAATAAATTTCACTGTCAATTTTATTATCAATTTTGTTTTAATAACTAAACAAGTTAACAGCTACCTATTATTAAAGTAACAACTCATTTTAATATAATTTTTAAATGAATATAAATCAATACGTATTCTGAGTAATGTGATTATTGTATGTACACGGAACTTAATATTATTATGTCACATTGAAATTTATAGGTGGTACCTACATAACGTCAATAAATTCATGTTTTTGTAAATATATATTATTAATATTATGGCTTTACTTGTGAACTTGCCAATTTTTTATCATGTGTTTATTATTTATCACCTAGGTAATAGGTCTATGTGAATGTTGTCCTAATTTCTCCACAAGAGCTAAGGAACTTAGTCTTGTGTTTCTTAAAATGCAATAAGACAATACTTACATAAAAAACGGCAATATTTTAGGTAAAATATTATCAAGAAACACATTTGATTAAACAGCAACCATACATCAGCTATTTTTCATTGTACTGTAGGGATGCCGGCGGCTGGGCTTCCTCATATTCCTCCTCTTCCGAGGAGGAGGATGAGGTCCAAGACCAGGCGGCCGACTCCTCTGAGGAGGATGAGGTCGAAGACCAGGCGGCCGACTCCTCTGAGGATGTGTGGGAACCGACGGGCCAGCTTCCGTCGTTCCCATGCACCAACGTGGGAACTCACAATATAGGACCAGCTGAGACCCCTATCGATTTTTTTAATTTATTATTTAACACCACATTTATGACTATTTTAGTAAACAGCATAAATACCCACGCAATACAAGTGCTTTTGGAGAGCCCACATGAGCATAGTAGAATTTCAAGTTGGAAAGATACCAACATAGAAGAACTCTATGTTTTTCTAGGCCTATTATTCCACATGGGCCATATTAAATTAAACAGAATTAACGATTACTGGAAAACAGACGTCTTATACGATCTGCCGTTTAAAAATTTTATGAGCCGCGATAGATTTTTATTAATTTTACGTAATTTGTCTTTTTCCGATCCAAATTTAACTTTTGCCACTACTGATCCCAATAAATTTACCAAACCTATTATAGATTTTTTTAACAATACTATGAAAATGCTGGTGGTCCCTCCAAAAAACTTGACTATTGACGAAAGTGTGGTTTTGTGGCGCGGGCGGTTAAAAATTAGACAATTTATACAAGGTAAAAGGCATAAATATGGTGTGAAATTATATATCCTCACAGACCCTAAAGGCATGACACAGAAAATTCACATGTATTGTGGATCACATGACGTTCTCCTTCGAGGAAAAGGTCATGCTGATAAAGTAGTGATGATGTTGATGGAAGACTATTTAAACGCAGGACACTCTTTATACATGGACAATTTTTATAATAGCGTTTCTTTAGCGGAAAATCTATTAGCAAATAAAACTTATTTGACTGGTACTTTGAGGGCCAATAGATCACGTAATCCCGAGATTACAAGGGCTAAGTTGCCTAAAAACCAAGTACAATCACGGTACAATTCGCGTGGAGTATGTGTCTCTAATTATAGAGACAAACGAACGGTCCTCATGATTTCCACTGAGCACGATGCTGACTTCATAAATTATACCAATAAAAGAGGTCAAACTGTCGCAAAACCTAGAGTCGTCCATGAGTATAATAAGTATATGAAAGGTGTTGACAGGAAAGATCAGATGCTGTCTTATTATGCTTGTTACAATAAATCCACGAGGTGGTATAAAAAAATAATTACACATGTTATGCAAGTCATGATGTTGAATGCATTCATGATGTACAGTAATAGTCAGGCCAATTCAAATTGTAGTTTTTATGATTTCCGTATAAATGTTGTTAGAAAATTGTTAAACGCAGACAGACAGACAAACAGACAGACAGTAACTTCTCGTCGAACAGGGGATTTTATTCATTGGCCATTACATTTACCTAAAAATGCTAAAGGCGTTACAAAACGCAAAGATTGCCGCTATTGCTTAGAAAAGTTGAAACTCCGAAAAGCTGCAACATTTTTTTGTACCGATTGCAACAAAAAACCCGGCTTGCATCTTGATTGTTTTAAAGATTATCATGGTTATCGTTAAGTTTAGTTCATTATTTTGTAAATTCTCCCCGAGTCCAATCAGCCTGGTCCCAATGTCAACGCCTAAAATATATTTATTTTATTATAATTTAGCAAAGTAGGTAGGTAAATGTACTTATCATTTACTTCGTGCTCAGTTATTTTAGCTTGTTTAGATTTTTTATATATTTGCACATTATCACCATACTCCACATAAAATTAAAATTTTCAGTGCATATTAAGTCTAATATTAATGTTAATTTTCAGTTCTTCCACTGACATTGTTACTAACTATACGTAGTTAAACTTTATTTTAATAGCGATTGCGTCATTCCTGTGTGCTTGTGATGTATATATAAAATTTTATTATATTAATTTATTTTTTAATGTTACATTTAATAATCAACAATCTTCTTTTTTTTTCAGAGTGCACGCAGTGGAGAATAGCCTTGATATTTTTTTTTTCATTTTATAATAATAAATGAATCTTTTCTTTTTGTTTCAGAGTGCGCGCGGAGGAGATAAATTTTATTTTCTTTTTTTTTATAATAATAATCCTTTCTTTTTGTTTCAGAGTACGCGGTGCGGAGAAAATAATATTGATTTTTCCCATTTTATTATAATTATTAATCCATTCTCTTTTTTTTTTTGCAGGGTGCATGCGGTGTATAATATTATTTTATTTTTAGATTATTATATTTTGTAAACTAAAAGTGACAAATGTGTAGTAATCACACTAAAATCACTTTTAGGAATTATTTGTATTAGTTTGTTAATGGCATTTTATAATTTACTATGTAGTATTTAATTTTTATACTAAACATTATAATAGTTTTATGTATATTTAAATTAGTATAATATTTTCCCTATTTTCTGAGAGGGTATTGTGTTATTTCACCTTTGTGATAATCATAGTTCTATCATAATTTAATTTAATTTAAAAGCCCCTAATTTACTGAAAGGAGGTTGGATTAGTTCATCTCTACAATTCTTGATTGTAAAGATGATCCATAATCCAAGGGAGAGTGGTGGGTCCTCCAATGCCCTCTCATTTTTTTCTTAAACTTGTAACTAACCAAAACATTTTATTTTCAGGATCTCGCACTTAAACTATTTTATTATTTAATTAATGTGTAAACTAAAAGTGACAAATACAAAATTTTTCACTTTTAGGAATTCGTCTTGTGTTTATTATTAATAATGTTCAATTCGTTATTTATTTCTAACACATTTTTGTAACAGATTTTAATTTGATTTTTAAATATCTTATACAGTAAACCGTATTTTTATTCTGACGTAGGTATTACGCGAAATCAAGATTTTCTTTGTAGCCAATTTATTATATCATTATTAATTTTGAAATTAAGTCCCTATTTTACTAAAAGGAGGTTGGATTAGTTCACCTCTGCAATTGTTACCTACACTAATTGTAAAGATGAACCATAATCCAAGGGTGTGTGGTGGGTCCTCCAATCGGTCGCAATTTTAATACTAAGCCATATCAGTTAGTTTTGCTATTAATTTATTATTTAATTTTCAATTAATTGCACTGACCAGATATCTACTTACGAGAATAAATTATTCAAGCTTACACATCATAGGCCTTATATATGTATACAGGGTGTAATTTGAAGGAAAGTAAATGATTATATAATAGTAAATTTTTAGAAATCTTTTCTTTGAGTAAAATTTTCTATCTACAGTATTAAGAGTACTTTCCCTTCAGGTGGCATTACAAAATTCCACCCTTATATAATTATATTTATATAATATTATTATGTTATCATAGTTGTGATAGATGGAATTATTTATATTGAATGAATTATTTATAGAAAAAATACTTTAGCATTTATATATACAGGGTGTTAGGTAAATGGGTATATGAGCAGACACTAGCCCATGTTAACATGGGCATATAAATGGTATGGTGAAGTCAGAAAATTGATATCTCCATTTTAATTTTCATACAAATCAGATTTTATAAAATTTATTTTGTATGAAAATTTAAAAAATTGATATCTCCATTTTAATTATTTTAATTTTCATACAAATCAGATTTTATAAAATTTATTTTGTATGAAAATTTAAAAAATTAAAATGATATCACATTTCTGACTTCACCATACCATTTATATGCCCATGTTAACATGGGCTAGTAAATTTATTTACATAACCTATTCTACTATTTACAATATTTACAAAGTTCATTGGTAAGTTCATTAAAATAGATGGAGCCCTATTAACAATTTAACTAAAGTGCAAAAAGTTAATAGGGCTCCAAATCCTCGTATATGTTAAATAAGCGTCTGCTCCGAGGATACGTCCACGTGCAGTATGGACACCTTCGCCGTGGTCTCCTCGGAGGCCGCTGCCGCCACGGCACTCCAGGCCAGGCCTGTAGTGCTGCCAGGAACTCTGACGGCTCAAGCCACTCCTCTGTCTCTGCCACGTCGGCCGTGGCCTGGAGCTCCTCCGTCGGACATTGCAAGTCTTTCTGATTTCTGAAACAATATAGTTAGATTCAATAAATTTTGTCTGATAAAAATTACTATTTTGATAAATTAAGACAAAGATAAATAATCAAGTTATAATAATTAGAATTTAGTTATTTATTATTTTTCTTTATTAAGCAAACAAACAGCATGAGTTGATACAATGTGAACTTAAAAAATAAACAGTACAACAAACTGTATAGGCTGCAGTTCATTAAGTTAAAAAAGAAAGTATAAAATTTGTACTTACTCTGCCGACGTCATATCACGCCGCCGCAGCCGCCGCAATATCCAGCGCCAAGCGCGCCAGCGACTATGGTTCTCACTCCTGTAATAACGTTAAAAACCATTATACCTCAAGATCTAAAAGGGAAC